TAAGCGGGCCCAGTAATGTCTCCATTTTTGAGACTTGTTGTTACTGTGTTTGGCATATTGAATACGTCATAGGTAGCTTGTCAGGCTTTGCCATGCGGGCGAGATACTCTCAGTAGCTTGCTGGGCTTCTCCGAGAGGGGCGGAGGAATCGAACCCGGCTCAGCAAACGCCCTTCCGCTGTGCTATTGCTCCAGCCCAATAAGAGATCATTATAAGGAAAAGGTCTGGTATCACAGAAAACAAGACACTCCTCGACGCATAGGCACCACAATTATTGAAAAGTCAGGGCCAGTTATAGAACTGAACACACACACACACACACACACACACACACACACACAGGCAAACTTATACAGGAAAGGTATTTATAAGATAGGTTCGCTGCTTTAACATTCTCATGTGCCTAAGGACTTCCCCAAAGAAGCCCCAGAATCAAGGAGCAAGAACCATAAAATCTAGGGAGTGGAAGAAGGCTGGAGTATCAACTTAAATAAAAATCTTCAGGCTAAGATACAGGACATGGCACTATCAAATACCTTTCCAACCCTTGGCAACCAGGTTTGTCCCATCCAGGTGTGAAAATAACTAGAGGAAAATATCAACAGAGGTTGAAAACTCAAACTGTAGCACTAGACTGCCAAGGTGGATTCAAGCTCTGTCATTTTCCATCAGGATCCTTAGGTAATTAATTTAATGTCTGGGGCCCTAACCTCCTCATCTCAAAAATAGGAATAATACATCTCATAAATTCATTGTGCAGACAAAAAGGATCAAACTTGAGAATCACCGAACTAGAAACACGTAGGGTCTGTGCAATCACTAGCATTTTTCCATACCTGACATACTTTTAACATACTGTTTCATTAAAGTGTGGAAGAAACATTTATAAAACAATTTTGATTCTCTGTGAATGCTGAGATGTTCAAAAGAGAAAATTCAAGGACAGATAAATAGAATGGGGAAAAAAAGAGAAACTGTCAAGAACTTACTTTTTAACAATGCTTCCTTAAACTATGGGACAAGGGGGAAAAGAAAATGGGCAGTGATCTCTCCTGGTGAGAAATTACTATCCCAGATCATCTATGTCATAATGAATCAATTATGGTTAAGCAGCAGTAGGTATCCCCTATCTAGGCGCCAGACAATTCATTGTAGCTTACTACATCTTAATAACTAAGGATGCAACAGTGAACAAGAATGCTCCTGGCTCCTGCCCTACTGGAAGTAACTAAACTACCTACTGGAACTAAACTACCTATGGGATGGGAAACTACCCCAGGGACAATAGCCTGAGGATAAGCCAAATCACATAATCAATGAACTAATTTAACATTTCAAAATTGCTAATATAAAATCATTAGAAATATAGCAATAATATGTGCTACTGATAACAATATATTCATAATAGCACAGCGGTAGGGCATTCGCCTTACAAGCGGCCAACATGGCCGACCCGAGTTCGATTCCTCCGCCCCTCTCGGAGAGCCCGGCAAGCTACCGAGAGTATTCGATATGCCAGACACAGTAACAACAAAGTCTCCAATGGAGACGTTACTGGGCCCGCTCGAGCAAATCGACGATCAACGGGAGGGCCTTTACCTTTACCTTATAAATATGTATTCATAATAGTAACCGTTTCTTGAACATAAACCTTGGAAAATGCTCTACATGCATTATTTTATTTAAACAAGACAATTTTATCAAGTAGTATTTCACAAATGTGGGACATGAGGTCAGAGGTCAAATAATTTGCTCACAACTACAAAGGAGGGCAAAAAGCAGAGAGACCAGTGGGGCTGTGGCAAGTCTGACTCTGGAAGTAGATGCTTTTCCACTCCACAATGAAAGGTTCTAAGAAGTACTTTCTAAAATTATAGAACTTGGGGGCTGGAGAGATAGCACAGAGGGTAGGGTGTTTGCCTTGCACGCGGCCGACCCGGGTTCGATTGCCAGCATCCCATATGGTTCCCTGAGCACTGCCAGGAGTAACTCCTGAGTGCAGAGCCAGGAGTAACCCCTGTGCATCGCCAGGAGTGACCCAAAAAGCAAAATAAATAAATAAATAAAATTATGGGGCTCACTCCCTGGAAAATTAGGAAATTCTGTAATTTTAGAAGGTACCTATGAGAAGTTTGTCATCTATGAAATAGTGGAATAGAATATTCAAATCAGGCCTGGTTCAAAAATGACCCAACTTAAATGCGTCCTTATTTTAACTTTTTCTAAATACTCTCAATTTAGCATTTTACTAATTAAGGTACTAGGAAAAGAAAGCAATGAATTAGGAAAAGAAAGTTATGAACCGTAAGAGGTATTCTACAACAGACTTAAGATAATTCCTTAAAACAGCTGAGTGAGTGATATCCTTTTGATAAAACAGTACTAATCCATTTAGCCAAACAATCTTCTAGTTTAAAAACAAAAAGATATATGCATGTATACATGTTTAAATAGTCTTTTAATAACGTCAATTTCCAAAATTGTCATATTATGTCTTTACAAGAACCTTTACAAATCAAACACATAGGAATGAAAGATTGACAAAAGAAATATTTGTTATTCACATAGAGTTCTTAATCTTTGTAGCACTATTAGTCTGTCATGATATATTCTGGGGAAAATTATTTCATTAATGGCATCCCTGATAGGAAACTGCTTGACAAACTCCAGTGCAGACTTTGCAAGCAGGGAGCACTGCCAAACTAGAAAAGAGATTCCATAATGCTATTAAATAATGACCAGGAAATTTCACAGAACACTTTTCAAAGGACGATCAACTCTGAATGTGGCTATAGGGAAAAAGAGAAATTTAATCTGCCTTTACCTATTCATCTAGCCAATTAATTTAGCAGACTATCTATGCCAAAGATTCAACTATGACACCCAAGGACTGCCAACTCTGAGGCACCTGACTATCCTCTATGGTTTTTACATATGCTACTTTCACAGTCCATGTAAATTATCTTCCTCTGTTTAAGTACACTTTCCACCTCAAGACGGGCAAATGTGTACTTTTCTTTAGTAATCAGTGAGGAGGATTTCAAAAGTGACATTGATCCACAGTAACAACAAAGAACTCAGGGCTTTTATTTTCTATTTCCTTTTAGTAAATTATAAATATGCACCAAATATGGAAAAGGGAGAGAACATACACATTAAACATAATTTTGTCAAGCCAAAATTTAACATTATCTTTAAAAACCTGACTTTACATTCTCCTCCCCAAAGTGTCAAACAAACAAACCAAAAAAACCAACACAAAAGTCTAGAACTCTAGAGAGCCAGAAATAAAGCCCTGGCACTGCCAGGTGTGGCCTCAAAACAAACAAAATAGCCAACCCAGAGTAAAGGGGATACAGTGGTTGTGAAGGCACGTGTCTTTCATACAGTCAACCCAGTCCAATCCTCAGCTTCAACTGGTTCCCCAAGCACAGCCTTGGAAGCCTCCAAGTACCATCAGGGTAGCCCTAGTGACCCCAGTACTGCAGGGTACGAGCAGCAGAGTCCTCAGGTTTCTCGGAAGGGGACAAGATCCTCCTGAGCACATGAGAGGCTCCCTCCATGGCAAAAGGAGTGGGAAACTTCATTTAACACATATATTGAAGCTAAAATTATAGCAAATACCCTGTTTTGGTGGGGCGGGGTGTATCAGGAAACAAATCAGGACCTCATACATGTAAGAAGTGCTCTACCACTGAGCCACTTCCTTGACCCGCAGTAAACAACTTTACTAAAATCAGTCCAATAAAAAGAGGATGAAAATTAAAACTCCTGATGATAAGATCTGTACTCTAATTGAAAAATCATGACCCATCAATTTTTTTAAATGTCAATTATTAAAGTTTCTGCTCACAGGTTTAAAATGATCTATGCCATGGGGCCAGAGAGATAATACAGTGGGTAGGGCAGTTGCCTTAAACACAGCCAATCCAGGTTTGATCCCTGAATGCAAAGCCAGGAATAAGACTTGTGTATAGCTATGTGTGGGCCAGAAATTCCATACAGGAAATACATTCTAACAGACCAGAGATATATAAAAAGTATAAATACACTTGAAAATAAAAAACCAATAAAATAGATACCTCCGTAATACAGTTACTGAGGATAAATTAACATAATACACTAATAAATACATTCTAAGTCAATGAGAAAAGTTTGGATGTGAGCTTTCTGAGTTTCCATATATCATATTATATCCCCACACCAGCTTCAGAAAGATTCTGTAAAGGCTTTTCAAGCCATATATATGTCTAATCACCAGAGGGTTTACTAGGAAACACATTTCCAAAGAAATATGTAGAGAGGCAGGGTGATAGCTGAAAGAGCTGGAGCACAAGCTTTGCCACGTGGAAAGCTCAGGTTCAATCCTGGCACCATGTTAATCGCCCAAATAAAGTTAAGGGGGCTAGGAGATAGTACGGCATGCCTGGGCACATACCTGACAAAGGTTTGACGACTGGCACCACCTGGCCACCCAAGCATCAGCATTGCAGGGTACAGCCCTGGAGGCCTCTGAGCAGCATCAACGCCTTGGGCCCTTGCACTGAATCAATGGCCCAGCGAGTTGACACTTGCCAGTGGGGGTTTCCCCGCCCTCCAGAGCACCACTTGGCAGCCCCCGAGCCCAAAAGGGAAAAATTAGGGATACATGACTTTATCAAGTTATTTATTATCAAGTTATTTATTACTTTATATTCAAATCTATCTTTGTTAACAATAATGACTAAACAAATCAAAACTTTTTTGGGGGGTGGGTCTAGAGCAGAGTTTCTCTAAGACAATTAGCAGTTATCTGAAAATTTTTGCCTCCAGTTCTCACAGAGAACACTACTTCAAATAAGGGGTAGATGGCCAAGGACTCTAGTAAACATCCTCCTTTGTACATCCAGAACAGTTCCTCATATAAGGAAAGGCCCCAATTAGAAGTTAATAGTACCCAAGCTAAGAAACTCCAGTATATAATCTAAATTGCGTTACCAAGACTAATAAGGGTTACTTACCTTTGAATTTAATATCCAGACCACTAAATTCCAATTCAACTCCCTGAAGTGCTTCTCCCAAAGTTTCATGGTAATGACTGATACTTTTTTTTGACCCCACACAGAATGGAAGTGAAAAGTACTTGTATGTCTCTTGGCGATTATGGTAAGGCCCAACAGTATTCATCCATAAGACAACTTCTTCTTTATCTTGATACTGGGGAGGAAAAGAAAACAAGATTATTAATTACTGTATTTATTTTTGCAGTGCCAGTGATGAAACCTAGAGCCTCATCCATGCAAGGCAACCTCTACCAGAGTTAAAGCCTATCAATAAGAACATTCCTCTATCATTAAATTTAGAGGTATATTTGCTATTTGTTCTAAACAAAAGTAAACCTATTGCGAAGGTATAAAATAAATTACTGCAACTTTATTTTAATCTGATGATTAAGTACTTGTCTTGCATTTAGCTGGCCCCAGTCAGATTCTAAGCATCTGTTCTCTTGAGCACAGAGCAAGAAACTGTCACCGAACATCACAGCCTATGGCTCAAAATAAAAAGTGCCATAACTCCCAGTAAGCAGCATAGCCAGGAAGTGTGATTCCGGCTAGCACATGTATGAGCAGTGTGGTCACCCTGGTAAGCAACACCAGAATGCATACAAAAGGACTACAACTGACTGATATGACCCTCAGAAACGTGCAAGCGCCTCGACCGAGTGTTTATATAACCTTCCTCATCACAAAAACAACAAAGGCAAGAAAAAAACTGTGGGGGCGTGGAAGAGAAGATAAAAAACATTAAAAGAAAACATTTATTATACTAAGATTTATACCACCGATTGGTAAACCTAGAACCAATATAATTCACCAAGCTAATATTGACAAGGAGAAAACAAACTCAATTAACAGACCAGAACCTCATATTAAACATTTAATTCCAAAGATCTAACACTACCAAAAAAGCACAAATAAAATTCTATGTCCCTTCTAATCTTTTCCAAGGTAACAGGCCACAGAATTAGAAATGACAAAACAAAAAAAAGAAAGCGACACTATGAAACCTCCACAGTTCATTCAAGCCATTATTTCATCTTTCCCTTACCAGATAAAAACAAATATTGTATGTAAAGTATTTTGAAGAAGAATGGCTCCAATGGCTCTGCCATACATATGGTTATCAGTAATACTTATTGTATATCTGATTTTACATATATATCCTACTTTATATACACATGAATATCGAAAACATTTATAGTATCAATGAATACTACATGTAGATCTGTGAAATGTGGTCCATACCTGTAAAATTTTTTGTTGGTTTGTTTTTCCTTTCTGGGTCACACCCGGCGATGTGCAGGGGTTACTCCTGGCTCATGCACTCAGGAATCACTCCTGGCAGTGCTCAGGGGACCATATGGGATGCTGGGAATTGAACCCAGGTTGGCCGCATGCAAGGCAAATGCCCTACCCGCTGTGCTATCGCTCCAGCCCCCATACCTGTACATTTTAACTTGCAAGTACCTTTGGAAGGTGACTTCACCTTTTCAAGGTAAAACTGGGGGAACTCCCCAAAAATTCTTAAGTTTAGAATTTTAATGATTCCATGAGAAGTGAATCAAAGTAATTTTAAAACTACTAACTCTAATTTGTCATGTAAATCAAGGACAACATAGGATGCAATGCAAAAGTATAAAAGGTAAGTCACTGAAGACTTACTAAGAAGCTATTAAGTGCGAATAATTGTGCTGTAATTGAAGACACCTTTACATTTTTGTGTATGTGGTGGTGGCTTTTTGGTTGTTGTTGTTGTTGTTTTTAGGCTACACCTTGTGGAGCTCACTACTCAAGGATCACTCCAGAGGTGGCCAGGGAAAGCTATGTAATGTCAGGGACCAAACAGGATGACTGCAAATGAATCAAGTATACTAACCTCTCTTGGCCATGACAGTACATTCGTTTATTTATTAAATCTACAGTTGATTTTATTTTTTATTTACTTATTTAAAAAAAATTTTAAGCTCTTTGGGTTACACCCAGCGATGCTCAGGGGTTACTCCTGCTGGTTCTGCACCCAGGAATTACTTCTGGCAGTGCTCAGGGGACCATATAGAATGCCGAGGATTGAACCTGGGTTGGCTGCCTGCAAGGCAAATGCCGCACCTGCTGTACTATCGGATCCAGCCCCCTGACGGTACATTCTTAAACAAGACTTATTCTCTGCGCTACTGGTCTTTAGAGTTTTCTAAAGGGAAAGGTAGTTACTGAGGGGCCAGAGCGAAAATATAGTGGGTATGGCATTTGTCTTCGTATGCTGCAAACCTGGTTTTGATCCCCAGCATACCATATGGTCCTGAGTACTGCCAGGAAAGATTCCTGAGTGCAGAGCCAGGACTAAGCCCTGAACACTGCTGGGTATGACCCCCAAACAAAAAACAAAACAAATAAAAGTTACCAAACAAGCAATAATAAAATAGGATGCTAGGGAGCATCTAACAGAGGAAAGGATTCAACTAGCTCAAATACCAAATCCTTACCTTCAATTCTCTATTAAAAATAAACAGAAAATTTCAGGTACATGAGTTTTTCTGGCTGAAACATGGGGCCTTCTTGGAATGGGATGGGCAACCTCCTCCTACCTTCCCATATTTCCGGGAGCCCTGGCAGCCACACCCTTGCCCCAGTGTTGCTGCCATGTAAGCTCACCTATCAGCCTTGTTCCAGACATTCATAAATCTCAAGAGATATCAACTAGCTACAAAAATGTCCAGGACAATCTTGGGAGGAGGGCAAACCAGCTTCTGCCCTACCAAAGCCCCCACAGCTGCTCCCACCCCCCAAAGCTGTCACCATACCTCTCACGGGGCTGCCTAGCTGAAATATTCTGGATTTTCTAGAGGAACATCTCCAAACACTATATCCAGAAGTATTGTGTGAACTACGTTGGATAGGATGTAACATAGAAGCCGACTAATCTCTACTAACAAAAACATTAGCACAGAAGACTTAACTTGCAACAACAGCTTAGTAAGCCCTCAGACAAAGACTTAATGTCCCCATGGTGAGATACAACAATTTTCACAAACCTTCCTCTACTGAAATATTTTTCAATAATTCCATAAGCCATTTAGTGGTAACAAGCAATATAAAATAAATTACTGTGTGTGTGCTAAAGGGGCAGGCTTGAGAGTGGTTGGAAAAAATGGAGACATTGGGTATGAAGAATGAAGAAAGAAGAAGAAATGAAGAAAGGTAGCAGTGGTGTTGAAATTGGTGTTGGGATGTTGAATGACTAATAAATCACCATGAACAACGTCATAAACCACAGTGTTTAAATAAATTGATAAAAATAATAATTAAAAAATAAAAACACTTCCATGGCCTGAGTAATACTACGAGTAAGTAGGGCATTGGCCTTGCACATTGCCAATGCTGGGCTTGCTCCTTAGAAAACAAAATCATTTTCAAAGCGCAATTTCTGGTACTCTGACCAGGGCAGAGAAGCCCATCAAGTATGAGGCTACAAGTTCAATTCCTCAGTACCACCAGTATCCAGAGGATCTTTAGAGCTCTGCAGGGTTAGAACCCCTGAAGATTTAGAACCCCTTTCTCTCTGAAGAGAAAGGTAGTTTAAAAAGCAAGCAGCAAGCAGTTCTAGGACTAGAACACATGCTTTACCTGTTCAATCCCTGGTACCCGCCGTCAGGAGTGGTCCCTGTGTACTGCAGCCCAGAGTAACCCAAAAGCAGTTGGGCCCAGTATGAGGCCATGAATTTAAGTGATCCCTTGGTGCCATCACATGCACTGAGGCACCCGAGTCTGAGGAATAAGGGAGCAAAAGGCAGGGTAAGGATGGGAGTAAATATCTCACCTAAATCTCTCCTCCACTTGTTTTTTTAGTGATACTATTCTCTCAGACACAGAAACTCAAACCCCAATCCCTCTGCTCTGCAAAAATTACTGACTTGCATATTCCAACCCACAGCATTTTCCTCTTTCTTTTGATTCACACCATTACCACCCTAGAACTTAACTACAAGTAATCACCTCATCTTCACACATAACAAATGTTTAACAAATGAATCACTTTTCAAAATAAGGCATTTTATTCAGGTCAGCAAGGAAACATCATTTTTTAAAATATGAGACATTTACCAAGCATGATATGAGGTGTTTAGGAGATATAGATAAAACAGTGTCCTGTCCTGTCCTTTCCATTTGGGTGGTGGTTGGTTTTGGGGACACACCTAGAAGAGCTTGTGGACTATTCCTGGCTGTTTTCATCACCTTCCCCCCCTCCAAAGGGGGTGGGGAGAGTTTGGTCGCACTCAGGTTTTTTTTTCTTTTTGCCTTTTTGGAATCATACCCGGCGCTGTTCAGGGATTATTCCTGGCTCTGCACTTCGGAATGACTCTTAGCGATGCTCAGGGGACCAAATGGAATGACAGGGATGGAACCCAGGTTGGCTGTGTGCAAGGCAAACGCCCTCTCCACTGTGCTATTGCTCCGGCCCCCTGGCTGTTTTCAAGGGTCATCCCTGGAGGGGTTCAGGGAACCACACAGTCCAAGAGACTGAATTCAGTCCTCCTATATGCAAAAGCGTGTACGGTTCTCTGACCCATCTCTCTGGCCATTGTCCTTTGCTATAAGAAGCTCATAATCCAAGGGAGTCAGACAAGTAAATGATTAACAAGAAATAAGTATTATAATTAAAATAATACAGAGTTACTATAGCAGCAATAAAGGAATTACTAATTCTGCTTTGGCAGAAGAGTCAGGATAAGCAGTTTCACGTGAATTCAGGAAAAGTATAAATAATATGAAGGAATGACTCAAAGATCTGAATGTAGTCACAGACCATATGCATAACTACTCTTTTTATTTGGAGGCTAATAGGTATATCATCACTCTTCAATGCTCATCTCATACTACTAGTTAATTAAGAGCTATGGATTTGGATACAGCACACAAATTCTCAAAGCATGGCTCCAAACAAATCATTATTAACTGACCAGTGTTGGTAATCTGAATTGAAACCTGATCACTAAGCAGTAAGCTCTCTGTATAGGATAATGTACACAAAAGGTGTTTCTTAAACAACTCCAAAGAAAAACAAAAATTAAGTTGTCTAGTATCACAGCAAAAGCTTTCAAGTAGTTTCACATGCAATGATTGCAACAGTGAGTGTCCTTTTAGAGAAGAGGAACGCTGAAT